TTAGGTCACCCAGGCCACGTAATGATGCATAAAATCATTAAGACTTTACTTGGACACCCATTAAAGGATATCAGGGTTCCATTATCAAGTGATTTTCCTTGTAAGACCTGTTCTCTTGGCAAAATGATCATCAGGCCTTCTATGAACAAAATTGCAACTGAATCACCTGCATTTTTAGAAAGGATTCAAGGAGATATTTGTGGGCCGATAGCCCCGCCATGTGGACCATTTTGATATTTTATGGTGTTGATAGATGCTTCAACACGTTGGTCACATGTTAGTCTTTTATCGACTAGAAATTTAGCATTTGCTAAACTCTTTGCTCAAATCATACGATTAAGAGCTCATTTTCCGGATCATTCTATAAAGAGAATCCGACTTGACAATGCAGGAGAATTTACATCCCAAACATTTGACGATTATTGTATGTCGATTGGGATTGATGTGGAGCACCCTGTTGCTCATGTCCATACACAAAATGGTGTTGCTGAATCTTTGATTAAACGATTACAACTAATCGCTAGACCATTATTAATGAATTGCAATTTACCTTCATCAGCTTGGGGACATGCTATTTTACATGCAGCAAATTTAATTCGGCTTAGATCGACTGCATATCATGAATATTCCCCCATGCAATTAGTTACTGGGCAATTAAGAGCCGAACTTAGCACACATACAGATATTTGGTTGTGCTGTTTATGTTCCAATTGCTCCACCTCATCGTACAAATATGGGTCCTCAAAGAAGGTTGGGAATTTCTGTTGGATTTGAATCTCGCTCAATAATAAAATATCTTGAACCGATGATTGGTGGCTTATTCACCGCACGGTTCGCTGACTATCATTTCAATGAGACAGTATTTCCGACCTTAGGGGGGGAAAGTAATAAATCGGACCCAAGTACGAAAGAAATAACATGGAATGCAACAGGATTATCACACCTTGATTCTAGATCAAATATATGTGAGCAAGAGGTGCAAAAGATAATCCATTTACAAAATGTTGCAAATCAGTTGCCTGATGCATTCACAGATACAAAGAAATTGACAAAGTCACATATTCCTGCTATGAATGCTCCTGCCAGAATCGAAATTCCAGCAGAGAATTTTGAAAAATCTCTTGCAAATGATTCTTCTATACGCAAAAAACATGGCAGGCCCCTTGGATCAAAAGACATAAAACCAAGAAGAACTAAAAGGCAGGAATTGGTCTGTGATGCCAAAGATGTTCATCCTTCTGAACAAGAAAATGAACAATTTGAAAATACTGGCACAGAAAATGATATTGACAAAACAAACATCTCAAATGATGATCCAACTTCCTTAAATGAGGAAGATATTCCAGATAATGATAGAAACGTTGATAATTATGAAATTTCAATAAATTACGTTTCTACTGGAATGCAATGGAATCGAAAAGATATTGATATTAATGAGATATTTGTCTATGTCGTTGCCACAAATGTTATGAATGAAAACAATGACAATGAGCCAACATCAATTGAAGAATGTCGGAAACGACACGATTGGCCGAAATGGAATGAAGCTATTCAGTCTGAATTAAAATCACTTGAAAAACGTGATGTTTTTGGACCGATTGTCCCTACGCCAAAAGGCGTAAAACCTGTGGGTTTTAAATGAGTATTTGTGCGTAAACGCAATGAGAAAAATGAAATCATAAGATATAAAGCCCGACTTGTTGCCCAAGGTTTTTCTCAAATGCCGGGAATCAATTATGAAGAAACCTATTCTCCAGTAGTTGATGCAACTACATTAAGGTTTCTCATTGGCATGTCTGTTTTTGAAAGGCTGCAAATGCGCCTAATGGATGTAGTAACTGTATATTTATACGGTTCACTCGATACAGACATTTATATGAAAGTTCCCGGTGGATTCAAAATGCCTGAAGCTTATAGCTCGAAGCCTCGAGACATGTTTTCCATTAAATGTCATTGTATGGACTAAAACAATCTGGACGAATGTGGTATAATCGTCTCAGTGAATACCTTCTCAAAGAAGGATATAAGAATGATCCAATTAGTCCATGTGTTTTCATTCGGCGATCAAATTTGGGATTCGCCATAATTGCAGTATATGTTGATGACCTGAACATTATTGGAACTCCCGATAATATTGAAAATACTGCAAATTATCTTATGAAAGAATTTGAAATGAAATATCTCGGGAGAACCAAATTTTGTCTCGGACTTCAAATTGAGCATTTGAAGAATGGAATTTTCATTCATCAATCCAATTACACCGAGAAAGTTTTGAAGCGGTTCTACATGGACAAAGCTCATCCTCTAACTTCACTGATGGTGGTTCGTTCTCTCAACATACACGATGATCCATTCCGTCCCCGAGAAGACAACGAAGAAATACTCAGTCCCGAAGTACCATACTTGAGTGCTACTGGAGCTTTAATGTATTTAGCTAATAATACTAGACCAGATATTGCATTTTCTGTAAATTTATTAGCTAGGTACAGCTCATGTCCAACAAGGCGTCATTGGAACGGAATCAAACACATATTCCGTTATCTCCGTGGTACAGTTGATCTCGGCATATTCAACCACAAAGATGCAAAAGCCACTTTAATCGGATATGCAGACGTTGCATACTTATTAGATCCCCAAAAGGCGAAATCACAAACCGGGTACGTATTTACTTATGGTAACACCGCAATCTCGTGGAGATCTATGAAGCAGACTTTGACTGCTACATCATCAAATCATTCGGAGTTAATTGCACTTTATGGAACCGGGAGAAAATGCGTGTGGTTGCGATCTATGATTCATCACATCCAAAATAAATGTGATATGAAACCTCTTACATGTCAGCCTATTGTGATCAATGAAAACACACTGCGTGCATAGCTCAGATTAAAGAAGGCTACATCAAAGGAGACAAAACAAAACACATATCACCAAAATTCTTCTCTACTCATGACCTGGAGAAAGAAGGGACGATCAACATTCAACAAATCAGATCCAGTGAAAATCCGGCTGATCTCTTCACCAAATCTTTACCCCCGAAGAAGTTCATAGAACTTGTACAGAAAATCGGCATGCGCCGTCTTCAAAATATATGTTAATTTCAAGGGAAGTATTTGAATGTGTTGCACTCTTTTTTCCTTCATCAGGTTTTTATCCCACTGGGTTTTTCTGATAAGGGTTTTAACGAGACAGTACATCCAAATACAACGACATTATAAGTCGTAATCCTTACCCCTTAACTTTAATTTTTCATAATAAATTTTAATATAAATACCTATTCAAAGATGAACATTCAAGGGGGAGTGTTGTAAAATCCTGGAAATGACAAGTGTGAATTGTTCATCCTTGTCATCATCCTTGTAACCAGGACACTAAGCTTTTTTCCATCCTTGTAATCATAGATAGACAGATGGCTAGGTTTAATAGTGCCAACAAAATATGTAGAAGTAGTCTTTAATGACTCATCATCAAGCCCAGCTAGTATAAATATGACTTGATCAATCCTTTGTAATTCCATTCACAAAATTAAGAAACTGAGAAAGTTTCAGATATTTAGAAGAAGTTATTTAGAGGTTATTAATAATATATCTCTCTTTATTTAGTCTTCATCTTCTTCATTTCACAACAACATTGAGTTTGTCACTTTTATTTTTTCATTTTTAATCCTGGCTATTATGTCAGGGACAATTTTAATGTAAGACTTCAAAATTTTCCGCATTTAGTCTCAAATATTGTGAAATTAAAAAAATTGTGAAAGTGATACTTTTAATCCTAACACTATAATTAATGATGTTTTTATTTGGACGGTTTTCTATCTCAGACCAGACCAAATCAGATCAAACCAAATCAGACAAGACTATACTTCGATAGTTATAAAATACACACAGATCACACATTTACCAAACCAGATCAATTTAGATCAGAAATTTTCAATCCAAGTAAAACATCCTTATCCACAAGACATGGAGATCTAAAAATATCACTATGATAATAATTGAATGACCAAAAAATATCACTTTTATGAAAGTGAAAAGACTATTGAAAATCTTCATACCAAATGTGTTTCTCACACAATAGTCAAAGAACGAGTAAAGAGTCAGTTTGGTACTCGAACTTGTAAAAAAGGTGTCAAATAAGTCCTTATATAGAAGATGAAAAATGCTAAAAGTACCCCAATTGGTACCCCCAATTTGTACCACGACCCTATTTTTGTGGCTCACAAAAGCACCTCATTAAAGTGGGGCAATTCATTTATTGAGGTGGACTTTTGTGAGCCACAAAAATAGGTTGGGGTACAAATTGGGGGTACCAATTGGGGTACATATAGCAGGGTTGATAGAAGATTATGTCCGGACGTGCCATTTGAGGTGGCTTCCGGTGGAATTTTTTGATAATTTTATTTAGCATCTTATTCATTAAGTCTAGTTTACTCATACCAAATTTCAGCTAAACATTCAATCGGGAAGACATTAAAATGAATTCTTGAAGATAACTACGCTTTTAATGGCACAATTATCTTCAAGAATTCATTTCAATGTCTTCCCGATTGAATTTTTATCTGAAATTTGATATGAGTAAACTAGACTTAATGAATAAGATGCTCAAAAAATTTCATCAAAAAATTCCACCAAGAGCCACCTCAAATGACACTTCCGGACAGAATCTTCTATATAAGAACTTATTTGACTCCTTTTTTGCAACTTCGAGGACCAAACTGACCCTTATCCCGTCAAAGAACTAAAAGTGAAAATTCAAAATCAAGTATCAAAAGTATCACCAACATAACCGTCAAATGACTAAAAGTGACAATAACTCTAAACAAACTAGACCAATTCATACATAAACATACCAAATAATAAAATTTCAATACAATTAGAAACATTCTTATTAAATATGAAACCAAAATAGATACAAACTATTTAATCCTTTTGTCTTATTTTTTTGAATTGTCCCAAAATAAATGTGTTACCTTGACGAAAAAGGTACATAGTACATACTGTATAGTATAGAATTTATATCATTTCACTTATATAAATTAAAACATCAACCACAATTTTTACTTAACCACTTTATTACTAATTGTGCCAAATTAAAATAAGGCACCTAATTCAGACCGAAGAGGATAGTATATAACAAGATACATATGGGTCATGGAGATGTAGTAGAATAAATAGGACCTCTAAAAGTATAAAACATCAAAATGTTAATCCCATTCAGCTTATGAAGACAACAGATCCAAAGCCACAGGAAAACAAAGAGCAACGCAAAAAACTTAATATAAAGTCAACACCAAGTTTAAAGACCAAATACATATAAGCCTTAGTTTGCTCTGGGGGTGGCCCACTCGACACGAAGAATAAGGTTATCATACCCATAACCATTGAGTTTGTTGATAGCCCTCTGAGCATCTTCTTTATTCACAAAATTAACGAACCCAAACCCTCTGCTCACCCCTGTCTTCTGGTCCATAGCAACGTAAGTCCTAGTCACCGCACCAAATGGTCTGAAGAGCTCATTCAAGTCGGGTTCCCTTGTGTCCTCAGAGAGGTTGGTCACCCGGACAGAGTTCTCATCATTCCTGCGCCTCATATCAGCCCCGGCGGGTCTCTCTCCACCCGGTCTCAAACTTGGTGGAACATAAGCTCCCTTAGTGGAACCAGGCCCGGCATCAGAGGTCAGTGGTTTTTCAACAAAGGAGTCTGTTTGCGGGACAAGATCTTTGTAAGGGCATTTGGATGTCCAGTGATCACCCTTCTTGCCACAGGCACGGCAAACCATGAGAACTGCACCGGGTTTGTTAAGGCCAGACAATGCATCAGCAGCCTTTGTTTCTTCAGCTTTGGAGCCTGTCATTAAACCAGGATATCATTATGGAAGTGATAACAATCTATTATTTTGTATGACCCCTTCATTAGGTAAAGGTTTAGATTTGGTAGCTTAAGGGGCTTATTCATTGCGTACTTTTCTGAGGGCAGACGTTGAGAAAAACCATGCATCCTCATTATTGTACTGCTTATGAATATAGGGTTTTTCCCTCATTTGCAATGGAGCCAAAGACCCACTATTTTTTGGCTTGGGAATATGATGGAATAAAGCAAAATGTCTCACTTAACTGTCCATGCAATTTTTGACGCGATTTCTCTTTGGGTCATACGGAAACAGTTTCTCTGTGCTTTAGTACAGGGGTAAGACTGCGTACATCCTATCTCCCTTACCCCACCGTAGGTGGGAGCCTTTGCGGCACTGGGGGTAATGATGATGATGATGATACCGGTCATATTATTTAATCCATTCTAAAAGGTTGTATGCGTATTTAGGTAAAAAAAAAATATGTAGTAAAAAAACTCTGTACTGTATATCAAGATAAAAAAAATTAGACAACTGAGTGTCATCGTAACCATTTAAAAGATATGATACTCATTGGTTATGAGTAACCTGAAAGAAGCAGCGAGATTCATAATGACCTACAACCCGACCAAAACAAAGAAAACGCATCTAAGAGCAAGGGAGTCGAAGGTTAAAAGAAAATATCTTTACTCCTGGGCTACAGACCAAACAAATGCAATAACCTTCCACAGCATAAAAAAAGTAAATGTTCCAGCTAGACACTGAATTTTTTTTATTGGTATAATCAGATGGACTATATATTAAACTGACTACAAATTCTAGATGCTGAATTCTAATCGTTTGATAAAATCATGGTTGAAAAGTTTTAAAATTGCTAAATACAAGTATATCTTATGAAAAAAATACAAGTATATCTTATTCTAGCTCGGACATCAAATTCTTTTGGGACTAAGGCTCTTGGACGTTGTTGTAGTATGTATACTGTTCAAGGCAAATCAAAATCAATTGAGCCAGAAAATTGCTATTGAAACAACATAAAAGTACACGTTTTGTTCCTTGGATATAGTCGGAAAAGCATATCATCGATAGCTAACATATAGACGGGCAGCAACCTGCCATGTATATGTACGCACATTTACATGTGTGTGTCTGCGTGTCCATACATGAATGAATATATATATATATATATATATATATATATATATATATATATATATATATATATATATATATATATATGATATTGTTAGGAGACAGATATCGATTACCGGGGGCTCTGTGCCTCTCAATTGAGATCTCTTCAGTGGAAAACATGGTGAGCCTGCTCCCGACGTCCTCTCGGACAGCATCACCGAACTTGGGCCATGATCGGCGCTCTATTGCCCGTTTACTGAGTCGAGCCTTAGCAAGCTTCCGCACGCGGGTCGTGGTGGTTATTTTAACCTTATTTCCTTCTTCGTTAAACTTGTACTCTATAACTTTCTTAATACCGTTCTCATCGGGACCAATAATCTGCTTCGGCGGGAGGAGAAAATCTAGATCTTCAGAATCGTCTTCATCGATCTCTCCCCATTTGAAATTGCTCGCCGGTATTGAAGCAGAACTAGGTCGATCGGCCATAACTGATGTTCGCGATTCTGCTGGGTCGGATACAGGATAGAGACGATTTGTAGGGTTTTCGATGCTTGTCACCGTATTAAGTCTTTGAGCCAACTCCGGGCAAGTGCACAACTATGGACTTGAAACTAGAAGGGCTATCATATTTACTTATTTCAATTGGGCCTGTATGTAAAAAGAAATTGGGCTTCTTATTTATCACGGACTACTTCATCATTCTCAATTTAAAAAATGACAAAATAGTCCAAAATAATAGAGAAAACGGTCAAATAAGTCTCTATTTTTCTCAAATCATCACATACGGCTTTCTACTCATAAAAGTGTCACCAACATACATTTAATTTTAAAAAACAACCATATGAGGCATAATGATCGGCTAAACCCCCTCTAATCCCGGTTTCGGCGTATCTGACACTCCTTTTAGTTAATCTTTGATTTTTATTCCACGCCAGCCCCTTATGGTCAATTTAAAAGGCCTCCCACTCACGCTTTTGAGAAGACGTCAGTCCCTTATCGTCAATCTTTGACCAAAAGCTTTCTTCTCGACAAACGTTGGTCTCCCAGAAGAAGATAGGGTTCATCTCTAAGCTCGGGTCAAGTTCTCTAAGATCGAAATGTCTTCAAGTTCGTTCACCTCGAATTCAAGGATGGGTTCAAACCTCTACTACGAACCTGCTATGTATCGTAATTGTGAATTAAAAGCACATTTGTGTGTGGGAAGGGAAAGTGTCCAGAAGTTTTATGGTTGCCAACGATGGAAAGTAAGTGACTGTGAACTAATTGTATGAAATTGTTTTTCATTTTTTTGGGGGGGGTCTTCGTTTGGAAAATATTTGTGGGAAGTGGTTGTTTCCTGAAAATTTCCTATTTGGGGATGACCTACGAAGCATTGTTCTGAAATTTTGATTTTATACATAGGCGCAGGGAGGAGGATGCAAATTCTTTGCTTGGAAAGAAGAGAGTAATGCTAAATGGGAATGTTCAAAGTTGAGCTTGGAGGAGTGCAGAAAGCTACTTTATCAGTTAAGAGATGAAAAAATGAGTGTTGGTCGTGAAGTGAGTGAGTTACGAGCTGCACTGCAATCTGAAAATCAAGAAAGGAGGAATTGTGTATTGTTGATTACAATTGTAATTGTATTTGTTGTGGTTGCAATGGCTATGATGATATGTGTACTAAAGTAAAATTTCTAAAGAATTTCTATGTAGTTCTTGCAAGTGTACATAATGTTTGTAATATTTCATGTGAGTGTATGAAATCCTATCTGGATCTAAAACAATACTCTCAACACCACCATTTACATACATATGCCACATTCGGTATTCTCTTGAAATTCCCTCCATGGTGGATTAGAGGTGGGGTAGTTGGTAGACTGAGTCCCGACTACTCGATATGGCTTACTACTCAGAGGGCTTGGAATCCCTTTTAGGGGGTGTGCACATTTAAGATAGTCATTTCGATTCCAACATATAGTGGTGGGAACCGGATTCCGGGATGAGTTCGTAAGTAACAATGACTCATTGGGCTTTGAGCAAAAGTATCCGAAAGTACTGTCCATCTTAAAAGAAAGTAGGAGAGGCAGTGATGTTGGTTTTGGAAAGAGAAGGACTATGGTGATTATTTTCAAGGAGAAATTGAGTACATTTAGAAAGAGTGATTAATTATAAAGTTATATTTTGAAAAGTGATACTTTTATATGAAGGTGTGAGTTATTAAGAGTTTATAAAAATTATTTTAAACATGAAAGTAGTTTTGTGGGAATAAAATGATTTTTGAAAGATATAGTTATGTATAAAAACTATTTTGACACATTATATTATTTTGCGGGGTTGGATAGTACTTACATAACTCTAAAGCTGATTTTTGTCTCTTTTTCTTTGTTTTGTTTTCTGCACTTTATTTGTGCAGGTAATGATGATTATGTTGACTGATGATTGCATGGTCTTAAGAGCGGTTGAGAGTCGCCTTAGTCAAACTTAGTCAAGAATAAACACTTCAGTTATGTTGAACACTTGTTTTACTTTGTTCTGTTTTGGGATTACATGTGCATTCAGTTAAGAGATAATCGGATGTGGCGGTAACACTTATTTCCTTATTACGACATCTGCTGTATTTCTGATGTTTTCAAATAAAGTTGATGAATCCTTTGTACAAATCATTTTTAGGTGTATTTTTGGGCGAGTAATTTGGTGGGGGTGTTACAGGGCGTGTATCCTCAAAACTCGGTTATGTCGGGTGGAGTACCCAAGGATCGGGCGTGTATCCTCAAAACTCGGTTATGTCGGGTGAGTACCCAAGGATCGGGCGTGTATCCTTAAAACTCGGTTATGTCGGGTGGAGTCCCAAGAATCGGGCTTGTATCCTCAAAACTCGGTTATGTCGGGTGGAGTACCCAATGATCAGGTGTGTATCCTCAAAACTCATATATTACAGTTTAATAATTCAGGATCAGGCGGTGTCCTTATGATAATTGATTTGGACCAGGAGAAGACTTATACAGTCATAGGTATATGGGTGGGTTTGGGATTTTAAGTTAAGGACATTGACTACTACTATTTTCTCAAATAAACAATGACCTACGGGTCGGTATTTCCAAGTGTATATATACTGATATCTATTTCATAACTTGGGGGAAAGGAATATATGTGTATGTATCACCCTATGTTTGGGTCTTATACTTGAAACGTTAGTTATGCTACATTCAACACACTGCTCGCTCGGTATTCACGTACTGAACCCTTCGGGGGATCGACCATTTCAGGTTGAAGCTAGAGCTTGCTACATGCACCTTTCAGACGGGTGAAGTCATATTCGGGAAGACGTGGTTCATGTTTCCTTGTTATCTTTAAAACTACAAACACTTGCTCGTGGATATTTGAATTACTATAAGCTATTTTGGGCCTGCGAGCCCATGTTTTGGCCAAATATGGCCCATGACTTACCGTTGGATATTTCCGCTCTTCATTGGTTTAAATGTGATGTTGTTATGTATGTTACTACCATTGAGTATGATTTGGACTATGTTCATGTACGCCTTGTATGATTAAGTGAAGTTGACTTGCGAGTGACGTCACTTGATCATACGGCGGTTATAAACGCGCTTAGATGCGGCCTAAGACGTGACAATACCTAGTGGGTAATAACATTATCAAACTAATTAAGTATCAATGTCACAGAAAAGATTTGAATAAAAAATAAAAGTTTTCAATTAGTTAACACCATATATATCTAACCACAAATCTATAAATTAAATAGAATACAACTACACAAATTAATTAAAAGTTTTAAAACCAAACTTTGAAATTGAATGTAAGAAATTAGACATCATCAATTAGACTAGTCACTATACATAAATGTTAATAAACAAATTTAAGCTTAGTAAATCTCAAAATGTAATTAAAATAAGATCAATAAACGAGAATCTCATTCTTTATTGAGCAAGAGTACATCTTTGTTGACAAAATAAATAAATAAAGGAAATTTGATGCATTTGGAAAAAGAATTGGGGATAACAATGGAAAAAACAATTTCGGATGTTGTTAGTGTATTTTACGTAGTATTAAATGAATAACTTTTATTAAAATAACATTTTAGTATTGATTAGGCTGAGTACTTGTTATATCAAATTATAATATTCGTGCGGTTCCTAAAATTTTAGGACCCACTCCGCCCTATTTGTTTTTTCTAAAATTAGGATCCGACCCTAACCTGTCGAAACATATATTACCTGATCCCACCCATGATTCTTATACCATTTGTCCACCCCTACTATATACGGCTCCTATATCCTACATCGGGGTGTAGGTACATCCAACCCAGTTGAAGAAGACAGTCCATTAACTAATATAGCCCAATTTTTTTCGATGACATTTTTGTAATTTAAGCAAAAAATCGCGGCTTCAGCTAAATGAGCATTAGTGCACTTTTAATGAGCATCTGACCTATTCTATTGGGTAGTAGGAGGCTAACAATGAGCATCACGATCTCTACTTCATATCTTCTAATTCAATTTGTTCTTGTTTTTTCTTTTATAAAAACTTGTTAAATTATATCTATATTTCACTTCTATGAATTTCAATATGCGAATTTAATGTAATATGACACTTTTAAATTATGCATTAATATGACATTTTAAAAATGAGCGTAGCACTAGTACGAAATGAGCATACATAGCTTACAAAATGCTCATTGATATGAAAATTGTAAGGTTTATTAGTATTTAACATCCTATCACAACATTTTCATTGAGCATCAAACCTTCCCTATTAGGATGAAAATCATGGTTTTTGTTAAATGAACATTAATGCACTTTTAATGAGCGTCAAACCTATTATGTTGAGACTAGTTTCATCAGCGTTGATATGACATTTTAAAAATGAAAATAACATCAGTACCAAATGAGCATACATAACTTTTCAAAGTGCACATTGATATGAAAATCGTACGGTTTGTTATTTGAACATTACGACATTTTCATTGAACATCAAACATCCGTTATTGAGATGAAAATCACGATTTCTGTTGAATGGGCATTAATGAACTTTTAATGAGCATTAAACCTATTAAATTATATTTATACACAATTCATATGAATTTCAATATGTGAATCTAATGTAATGGTACTTTTGAAATGTTCATTGATATGTCATTTTATAATTGAGCATAACATCAATACCAAATGAGCATATATTTAACTTACTTAATGAACTTTACATCAATATCAAATGAGCATGCATATTTACGAAACGAGAATCGAAAAATTCAAAAGTTTATTTAAAATCCCCAGTATGCTCAAATATTAAATGAGAACACATAATCTATGAAATGAGCATTAAAAAAAATAAAATGAGCATTATCCTGTATAGATATGACATTTTAAATGTGTGGTGTAATACTCATTTTAAAATGTGTTTTAAAATGTGTTTTAAAATGTGTTTTACAGCATCGAAAAATATAAAAAGCACATTAAAATCTCTAGTATGCTATAAAGAAACATGAATTTCTTATTTCAGACCAATCAATTTTGTTGTGCTTATTTTTAAAAATTATATCAACGCACATTTAATTTTAATAATATACTCTTAATTATTTAGAATGTTGGACATTTTAATAGAAGAGTGAGAAATGTACATATTTTTATTAAATTGCCATTCGATATGAACTTTTGAAAGAATTGCAAGAAAGAAAAAACTCTTACAAAAAATTTACATAAAAATAAAAAAGAAATAGTAGTTCAAAATTAGAGGAGTAGAAGACGAAAAGTATTTATGAAACTAAAAAACGGAAGCAGAAAAAGAAAAACTAAATTTAGAAAAGTCAGAGTTCAAAATT